ATCAGATGTTATGATAAACATCACTGTATGATTTAGAGAGGAGTAGACTGCTGGGTGCATGTTCTTCCCGTGTTTCCCAGAGATCAGGGATCTGCTGCCCTTCCACCCTTGCAGTGAACTAAATGGGTAACATGCCTTAAAATCTAGCGAAATAAAAGGACATCCTTCTAATGATAAAATATGCTCAAATGTCACCACATGTTTTTCACATGCTGTTTAAACCACTGCTTATTTTTATTCATACACACTGCGCAAAAGTAGCTGCATCCTGTTATTTACAGATTAGAAACACTCCTTAATGTGGGCATGGTTATTGATAACAAGGGCTTGCCATATTGTTAATAAAAAAATAATTCAACTTTATTGTCATTACACTGTAACAAGTACAAAGCAATGAAATCCCCTCTCTGCATTTAACCCTCCCCTTTGGGGAGCAGTGGGCTGCCATTGTGCAGCACCTGGGGAGCAGTGTGGGGTTAAGGGTCTTGCTCAGGGACCTAGAGTGGCAGTCTGTGGGAGTGGGGCTTGAACTCAAAACCTCTGGGACTCAAGCACTCTAACCACTAGGCCACCACTCCTTCTAGAGAGTTAAAAAAAATGAACGACAAATAAAACTAATTAGTTCTTTGTATTTATGCCTATAGTTAACTTTGAAAGGCTAAGGCATGCTATAATACAAAATCAAAAACTTTAATAACTTAAATGTACTGAATCTTTCCACCACCTTCTTCATTTTCCTGTTTTATATAACAAGTGAAAGGACCTTTTCCAAACAAATGCAAAGTTATTTAGTTTTTTTTTTATTGAAAACATGTTTCCATTTTCTGTCCATTTCACCAACATGCATTATTGTTTTATTCTACACCTACAATTTCATTTAAATAGACTGAAGTTTGTTGTTGCATTGTGACAAAGTTTGGAAAACCACAAAACATGTAAAAACTCTCCAAGGCTTTTTACTGTTTATATGCAGGAAAGGTGAACCCCTCCTTCAAATGGTCAGAACTAAAGCGGATAGAGGTCGATTATTACAGTATGAGGAGAGAATGTCATGTATGCACCTCTAAACCACCTGTTTTTGCATGATATAAAAGAATGAATCATTTTTTTAGGATTTTTGGTGCAGTTTGCATGAGTTAGTCACACTGCATTAGTCTCACACAGAAATAAATGTGGTTCCATTTTACTGATTTCCGAGAAATTCAAACAAAAGTCAAACATCATTTACGGCTTGTTAAGAGTTCAGAGATTTTTCAAGGTGTTCTTTGTTTTTCTGATGCTCCAGATATTACATGGAGATGATGAAAGTATGTAATAATCTAAAGCAGGCATCTTCCGCTGCTAATCCGGGGCTGTGTGGATTTCTGAATCATTCATCTCTACTGGTTTTCCCCCCTCAATCGTACTGGTTTGGTTTGTTAATCCAGTGGAAGCTCTATCTCACTGCAGTCATGGTACTTTGACTGTGACCTTTTCCATTTTGTTATTATAATGTAAACATGACCTTCTTCAACATCTGGAACCAGGTGTAGCAGCAGAGCACAGCTGGAAGCAGAGCTGCCAGGGTTGTTTGTTTGTAGATCCTCTCCAGAGACGATGACAGACCCAATCAAACCTGCAGGTAATTAATTATAAAGACATGTTCCCTAGATGTGGTCAGCAGCTGCAGATATTGATATGGGAAGAGCAGTGAACCATAACAGATTGTACTTTGTGTTAGCAAATGGCCCACACAAATAAACTCATGTTAAACATTAAAGTTAATGAGGTTTTCTGGATACATTGTCTATGACATCAGTTCAAAGGAAAGTTTTTACTCCTCAAATTGAACTCTGAGATTTTAGAAGGTTTTCTTACACATTTAGCCTATTTCAAGTCACCACAGTGGGACACAATCAGGTCATTGAGTAGTTACTGGATTCTCCTTTTCTTTATTTTAAGCAGGTCTTTCATAGTCTGTTTTATTGGAAGTGGCAGCCTAGCGGTTAGGGCATAGAGCTTGGAATCCAGAGATTAAGAGTTCAAGCCCCACTCCCACAAACTGCAACTCTGGGTCCCTGAGCAAGACCCTTAACCCCACACTGCTCCCCGGGAGCTGCACAATGGCAGCCCACTGCGTTCCAAAGGGGATGGGTTAAATGCAGAGATAAATTTCTCCAATGTGAGATTAATAATAGTTAAATTATTGCCATGTTGTGCATATGCCTTAATATTTTATAATTATTTTTAAATATAGTTCCACATTTTCATCAAATACCCTCTAATACAGTAGTCTTCAACCTTTTTCGGGCTAAGATCTACTTCATGGTCACTGAGTCATAGGAGGAGCTACCAATACAGAGCTATCGACAGGAAGTTTCAGCGTTCACCTAAACATAATGCATAATAAATATATTTTTTATGTTTTCTTTTCATTTCTCTTTTTCGTTTAGATATTATCACTTTGAGATCTCTTTAAATGTGTGGTTAAAAAAAGAAAAGGAAAGAATAAAATAAAATTTCAAACCCAGCTCTAATAGATAGTAGAAATGATTGTGGACTTTAACGGTAAGCTGGCCTGGTCCTGCTGCAGCGAAGCATCCCCATATCATGACACTCCTACCTCCTTGCTACACAGTTGGAATGACACCTTTAGTTTTGTTTCCAGTTATGCTGATGCCTTTTAAAATCTTCTTGACTCAGACACTGTCACTATGTTCTCTATGGAGGACTCTAGGAGCTCTTTTGGGGTAAATGTTCACCTCAATGATGCTCTGTGATTCAAAGAATTGCAATGTTTTCCTCGCCAGAATCGGCTTTTTGAATTTCAATTTCAATTACCTTAAAAGGTTCTTTGTTGAGTTATTTATTCCTATATGCCATAAACACACCATTTCAAAACATGGCTGTATTTGAGTTTTGATCCATGTAGATGTGACCACTACATGTATTAGGGCTTTTAAACAACAGGTGAACATAAAACCACCAAAGCTGGGTCTATTAACTATACAGTGATGAGTGAGTTCACCTGCGGTGTGCTGTACTTATTCTACATGCCACTTATTATCACAAGGGGTGCCTATCTCCAGCTGTCTACAGGTGAGAGGCAGGCTACACCCTGGACAGGTCGAAAGTCCATCGCAGGCCAACACAGAGACAAACAACCATTCACACACACCTAAGGAGAATTTAGTGAAGCCAGTGAACCCAACAGTCATGTTTTTGGGCTGTGGGAGGAAGCCAGAGTACCTGGAGAGAACCCACACATGCACAGGGAGAACATGCAAACTCCATGCAGAAAGACTCCAGGCTGGGAATCAAACCCAGAACCTTCTTGCTGCAAGACAGCAGTGCTACCCACTGCACCACTGAGGAGCCTTAGAGATGCAACTAACAATTATTTTGCAAGATGATTATTTGTTTGATTAATAATCAGTTAGCCAAAGTATCCCTAAAGAAGATTTTTCTTTTTGAAATTAAACCATGTAAGCTAAAAATGTTCCACTTGAGTAGTTCTAGATAGAGCATATTGACAGATGAAAAAGTTTTTTTTTTTATTTGAAATGCAAAAATGTTTAGATATTTTTATAATTTTGGTATAATTGCTGCTCAACGTGGGCTGCTCTGTTGGCTAAAGATACATTCTATACTCAAGTTAACAATCAGTTAGTAAATAAGTTAATGATTATTTCAATAACCGATTAATCACCATTAATCTGATTGTTTCAGCCCTACTGGTAACAAATTAATGCCAAACATAAGCTGCATTTTACAGCAGGAATTATCCAGCTTTCTGGAATTTAAAACATTTCAAAAATCATTGTCAGTCATCATGTAACAGTCAACTGTAAAATATGTCCTTAGTGATAACCGATTTATCATATAATAATTGTTCCAAACTGAGTCACTACATCCCTGTGGGCATCTATTGTTATAATTAGCAAGATAAAAAAAAAAAAAAAAAAAGGTTGTAAGCATAGTAACTGAATCTGAGGAAACTGAAACCAGCTGAAGAGTTCAGGTATGTTTATCTGTTTTGTTTTTTAATGAGTGATGACAAGACGGGAAGGAAACTGCTGAGCAAAAATGCAAAACCCTTGATGGACCAGTCTGACTAGATTCTGACCCTCATCTGAAGTCTTGAGATATGAATCAAGACTAAGAAAAGATCAGATCCCGCATCGAAGCGGCTGAAATTAGCTTCCTCCTTATGGGTGACAGGTTTTACCTCTGTGAGAGATTAGATTAGACCTGCATCTGAAAGGAAGCAGCTGGTTTGTGCTACTAATGAAGGCGAATAAAAAACAGAGTTGTCTTAATATTAGAATATTGTTTATAAAAACAACCTCAACTCTTTATTAAAAACACTTTATCAAACATTATGTAATATTAATGACCAGACTTTTCTTTTAAGCCAGAAGATCATTGCTAAAGAAAATGTATGTTTGAAGAATGTTGCATCAAACTGAAAGTTAGGTGGAAGGAAAAACGTGTGTCATAAAATATTATTTTTGAGATATTACATTTTCACTGTGGTAAACAATCAGATTAAATCAATGAAGTATTAGTATTTATTTCAGGCATATTTATCAAAAAATACTATATTTCAGATTTTAATGATATGGACTTCATGGTTTAATTAATAGAATGTCTAAAGTGAATTGAATGCTGTTCATCAAAGGACGACATATGAAAAACAAAAACTCAAAGTGATTCTGATTTTTCTGCAGCCAAACAAATTTTAATAACAGAGATTTGATGAAAAAACAAAACAAAAGACAGCCTGCATGTCAAATTAAAACCACAAGCAATTCTATGTTCGCTGAGATGTGGCAGAACTGCCAACAAATATCGGGTCAGTTTGTGAGAACATAGCATTACGCTCCTCTACTCAACATTGCGCTTTCTTCCAAAAAGAAAAAACTTAACAGCACAGAACATTTCTTTTTATAAACTGCAGCTGTAGAAACAAATCCTGCTCAAACTGATGGCAAAAAGCAAAGAAATCCGCGAGAGAGCCTGCGTTAGTAGAACATTCTTATAGTCAATTCAGTTCACTTAAAATGACCCTGAGCAATAATCTGTGTAAACATTTCTACATTCACCTCACACCAACAAGATAAAAGGTTCAGTGCTTCCTGTTCCACATGGCACATTCTCCAAGCTCACGAAGCATTTACACGTTTTCGGTTTATAGGCATGCTGGTGTTGATTAAATACTGAATGTAGCTGTGCATATACACTGGAAGAAACAACACACCACTCTTCTCTGAAGCATTTTTAGAACTTTATCTGTAAGGTAAATGTATTAAATATGTACTTATATGCTGTGTGCGAGGAGTGCATTGGGTTTCTTCAGAAGTAGATGTGAGGAGCGCAGTTTTGCATCCATAAAAAGTTCCAGTAAACGTGCTAGGGGAAAGAGCAGCAGAGGTCGTTCTGAGCCAGACTCTGGATCAGTCTGCACCATTCGGCTCGCTTCTGGGTAATGTAGGCTGGGGTGATGGCTTGCATGGTAAGGCGGGGCGAGCCCTCCAGCCTGACCTTCTCACACAAGGCCTCAGCAATGCAGATAACGTACATGCCACAGTCATAGCTGTTCTGCTGCGACGGGCAGGGCTCCTCCACAAACCTTTTTCTCCCAGCACCGAGGAAGGGCTCGAGCTTGCTGGCGATGCGCCGCGCGTGCAGAGAATTGCTGCCATTCTGAGAGTCGTAGTGTGCAAAATGTTTGGTGTTATGATGGTAGAGCAGGAGGCTCCAGTGGGACCCTCCGGCTGTCTGGTTGGAGTTGTCATTAACGGCTAAGAAGACCCAGTGACGAGAAGGGAGATCCAGTGGCTCCAGGAAGAGGGCCAACTCATCAGGACAAGAGGCACACTTGATGAACTGGGTGACCTCTGGGCTAATGAAGACAACAGCATCTCCCAGGACTCTGAAGCGCTCATTAGCAAAGTATTCAAAGGCAAAACCAATGACCTGGTCGTTAAGCCAGTGAGGTCCTTCCAGTAAGGACACATCAGAGCGCCTCAGCAGGCTGTCCTGGTAGCTCAGCACTACAGGATCCATCCTTGGGCAGGGTTGGTCTGAAAAACAAAAGCTCCTAGTTTAGGTTTGAGCAAAGGGAAGATGCTAATAGCTATGTTACTATCAGTGATTCTGCAGCTCCTCCGGATGGGCTGTGCCATCTCCTAAAAAACAGGACCAAGCTTTTGAGAAACACATTGACAATGTCAACATACCTTTATCATTGTTCTTTTTTCTTTAGCATTAATGATATAGCTTAGCCCTGTTATTAAAGTTTTTGACATGGATAAATCCACCTGCCTTAGGTTGGGATTCATTTGAAAAGTGGAACCATTTAATAACTAAATGTATGTTTTTTTTCTTCTAAAAATATATTTTTAATTTTAAAAGATTAACACAATTTAATTCGTTTCAATGAAAATATCTTCCACTGCTTTTAATAGTGTGAAATACGTTATTCTACAAAATCAAAACAAACATTTAAGACAAATAAAGGAGCAACAAAAAGGTTTTTTTTTTTTGCTTTATAAATAAATAAAAAATGTCACCTGATTTCATCTATGATTTACTAATTGCTCTGCTAGCTTTAAGCATTTATTTGGAGAAGACAATGTGCAAGTTCCAAAATCTAATGCAATCTTTAGGAAACGTATTACCTCATATCTGCTTCTAAAATAAATGGATCAACAAAGAAAATACTGGATAGAGACACATTTGTTTAAAAAGTCATTTTACAGTCAATAATGCTCCTGGGTAAGCAGGGATATTTATCTCTAGAGAATGGCTCTTTAAACACTAGTAATGAACATGAATCGATATGTGTTAAAGTTTCCCAAACTTTTATCATTTCAGCTGATAGACTTTACAGAAACCAAACAGCCGCAGGTCCATCTGTAGTCATTTGACTTCATTTAAAAGGGGAACTCATTTCATAATTCCGGCTTGGTGTTTATCAAAGGTGCACCGGTGTCTGCTCAAACACAACAAGTGTATTGCTGCAATGCGTTTAGTTTATATATTTTTCTTGGCATGCAGCTAACAGTCAACACAGTCTAATGCTAGCTAGCTAACCTCACCTTCACACGAAGCTAAATAACTACTCCCAACCAACATAACATATAATAAATACATCGAAAAAAAATTAAATGCTGGGTTTCTTTAATGTCCCTACCTGTTAGAGACACAATAAACTAAGAAGCACCATAAAAATGACACTGTTGCTCCCTCATTGCTTTGGCCGTTATAAGCTGTATCTGTACTGAGAAGCTCGCCACTTCTTCTTCTTCTTCTTCTTGTCGAGTTTTATGGCGGTTGGCAACAAACTGTTAGTAGCATTACCGCCACTTACTGGTATGGAGTGTGG